CCAATCAGCCGTGACTCCCTCCGTACCGCCAATCAGCCGTGACTCCCTCCGTACCGCCAATCAGCCATGACTCCCCACGTTGGGAAGGATTATTGTCACTTCTCAGAATCTCACCATGGATGCTGTAGCTGCCGGATATGGGCGGCTCTATACAGGGGCCAACAGGGGCCAAGGCTGATGAGCAGAGAAGACAACAAAAAGTCACTGACCTGGTTGAGAGTTCAGTCTGAAACTGAGAGAGGAGGAACCCGGGGGGAGACTGTCCGCCGCTTGCAGTTGTTACAGCTTCAGAGCACAGAGATCGGGGAGCTGGCAGCCAACCGAAAATCCACGGCAGAAAAGCCGATCAGAATTTAACAGCACAGAAAATGCTACAGTTAACACTAGAGTTAATCGCAATGAGAGCCTGAATAATCTGGTGCTGAAGGCAGGAGAGAAAACAGCATAAATGGGGGGGGCCCCAATGGGGGCCAGCGCACCTGAAGAACCTGGCCCCTCTTATGACCCCTATAGACTACATTCATTTCTTATTATAGTATTGTTTATTTAAAGCTGCAGCTGATTGTGTGTTTAGATGTTTATTCTGGTTTAATCCTGAAATGAAAGGATTAGTGGATTATTTTATTCTTTTGGCGTTTTGGCAGCAGATCTATGTCGCTGGAAAGCTACCTTCCATCTGCGCCTCAGACCACAGCTAAGGGCAGATTAGACTTTTGGTCCCGCACAGAGACAGATTTGAAGGTTGCAGAGTCAGAAGTATAAATTGGCCTTTAGTGTTTCCACAGCATGATGCTGCCAGCACTGTGTCTCACTGTGGGGGGAAATCAATGATGTTAATATGAGCTGTGGAGCTGAACCCTTTACCACAGCATCACTGCCTGTTGGTGGTCCAGAAAGTTCCCTCAGTGGTCTGCTCCGTCGGTCAGGTGGGGGTCATCGTGGTCCAGAGCCTGCTGCTGATCTTCTACACCAGCCGGGTGTTTCTGTTCATCGGTACCTGCGTGCTGGGACTGTGCATCAGCAGCGTCTTCCCCTCCATCCTGGCTTTCACAGAGGACATGTTGGATTATAAAGGTGACAAGCTGCTCTGCTAACGTTGTATCTCATCTGTTATTGCTGGTCGCCATGCCGACGTGTTTTTTATTGGTGTGTCAAAGGTGCAGCCACCACAGTCCTAGTGACCAGTGCCAGCACAGGAGAGATGCTGCTCCAGCTGCTCGTTGGATCGGTAAGAGTCGCCTGAACGTCTATCTGCTATCTGCTCGGGGCCCCGCCCCTGCTGATGATGTCATCATACGGCAGCACCTCTCGGACAAACCGTGTTGCACCCATTTCTTTACAATCATTTATCTTCTGGCGACTTAACATGTTATTACCGACATTTACTATTATTTTATGTTTCATCTGTGATCAAAAGTAGCAGAAGGTAGAAAACAATCGGTCTACAGACTGAGCTCTGCTTTTTAAAAGTCTCACAGATTCTTTTCTTCAAGATCTAAGGGCAAATGAGGACAAATGGAACATCTAAAATGATTTTCTAAGAGATTTTAAACAAATAAAACAACAGTTATTCTATTTCTAAAGAGTTAAAAACGATCCACTGGACTTTGTTTCCAAGTTTGAAGACGTTTCTCTTCTAATCCAGGAAGCTTTTTTAATTCAAAATGTCTGGATTAGCGTCTGGATTAGCGTCTACATTTATTTTGTTCATTTATAATGTTTGCCCCATCCTACATCCTCGTCCTGATTGAGATGATCCACCTGGAAATAAAAAAATCCTCCTCTAATTAGAAGCTTTGAAAAACTTAATTATATTGTCCAAATACTCGATTATTTGGAAATAAATCAACTTTGCAGTGGGTAGAAACGTGTGTCCTGCTTCTTGCAGGTGATCCACAGTGAAGGCAGCTACTCCTTCCTGTTGTCTACGACCATAACGTCCATCATTAGCCTCTGTCTGTTCCTGCTGCTCCTCTACACCCATCATTTTCACAGAAACTACCAACCAGGTAGGTACTGTACTCACCAGCAGGGGGGGATATACTAGGCAGCTGCCTAGGGCCCCACATTTCCTAAATCCGCCTCTGCACAACCTTCATTTTAATGGACTATTTTCTTTGATTTCAAATGTTTGCAGATTCATCAGGCGCCATAGACATGAAAGAGCAGCCAACCGATGGAGGCTCCTGATCTTTGATTCACACATCGCAGCAGACGAAGGACCCCCCTGTGGCCCCCTATGGGCCCTCTGTGGCCCCTGGACTGACATGTGGCTCCATAGGAGCAGCTGTGATGGATTCATAAAGCAGCAACCTGTCAGAATAAAAGCAGGACAATAAGAGGACCATAAAGTGTCCTTTATGGCCTTACTACAGACACTTCTAGTTCACTAGCTCTACAGAATCTTTGTTTTAATTTGCTAACAGTCTTTGGTACGGAAGAGGATTAGGGCCACTGATAAAAAAAAAGTAAACTGATTTTTAAATTTTATTGTCAGAATTCAGACTGAATTCTGACAATAAAAAGTCAGAATTCTGACTTTTTTCCCATGTTAAACTGAAATAAAGTTAAAACTTTGTTTAGTTTTTTTTTCAGTGGCCTTAATCCTCTTCCGTATTTAGGAAAATAAATAAATAACTAATAAAAGCAATTCATTAAATCTGTTTAGATTGGTTTAATCATCTTTCATCATGTGAGGAACAGGAATGTGCAGCTGTGTTTCAGCCAGCTGTGCGGCAGTGCACAGCTGGGACCGGACGAGTATTTAGCATTAAAATAAAAACCCCTCGGATACGGAATAAAGACATGAGGTTTATTATTGGTCTCGTTTCGCCTCCCTGCTGGACGTCGTTCCTCGACGTCTCGCACGTCGAAACGCCGCTTTAGACAAGCAGCTTGTAAACATTTGGATTAAGCATCAAACAGAGAAACTCCACCAAACAGCAGAAACCGTCTTTGCTTTAAAACAGCTTTTTACATTTAAAGGAAAAACAGAAGAATTCAGGTTAGATGTGCAGAAAAAGGCTTTGGGATCATTTTCATAGATCTACTAATAAACTTACTGCAAAAACGCTCCATTTATGCATCGTATATATTTCTATAAATATTTATACTTGTGCCTGATTACAAATTAGTCTTTTTTTCTCCATATAAACTGATTGAGCTCCTTTGTTCTTATAAAAACAAGTGCATAATGAAGAGAAAAATACATTTCTTTAGTCAACAAACAACATTTCATCCTAGAAAAGTGAGAGAATCCAATTAGACAGGAACCCCGACCTTTAAGTGCAAGAACATCTGCATGAACAATATCTACACAATATCAAAAAACAGTCAACGTACAAAACAGACTGATTTTATCCCAATAAGGCTCTGATTCCTAAAATAAAAAAGTCGACATCGATTCCCAAAAATCCACAAAGTGAAACAGAAGGAAACAAAAAAAAAAACATTACGGATTTACAAAAATAGAAATTATTCTCAAAGTTTTATTACAGGAAAATAAAAGGAGACTATGCCAACAGGTTTTCTCTCTCTAATATATATATATCTATCTTTATACAGTTTGGGAGCAAAGGTTTAGAGGCAGGTAGAGAACAAACATGGCTGCTGGCGTTGAACGGCTAATTTACATGCTGCGCGGGTGAAGCGGTGTCTGAACGCGGCAGGTTTTAGCCACGCCCCCTCTGTGGTTTGGTCCGTTCCAACATGGCAACCGGAAATAAAAAAAAAACAAAAAGCGCTCCATTAGATTCCGGGAGAACTTAGCGATGCTAACCGGCTGCGGTAAGGCACCATTTCCCTCCGAGCGGCGGCGGCTATCGTGTAAACAAGCGTGATGTCGGATGGCAAAGACGACGTCATGGAGTCGGTCTCAGACTTATGGCTTTAAGCTGGCGGGGTGTAAACCCCAGAGGGCAAAGGTCAGGGTCAGAACCAAAACATCATGACCCCCCAGTGATCGCCACATCACTGCGTTTAGAACCAGATTGGTTCCTTCTGAGAGGGCGCCATTAACGTCCATCACAGACAGAACAGTTTAAAGCAGATCTAGACAACTTCCACACTGAAGGTTGTTATTGCTGGGAGTTCATCGTGGTCCGGCTCTGGCCCCGGGGGGGTCATAATGTTTGGTTGGTCGGTGGGTTTCAGAGGCAACCGCAGCTACTGTGGTTAAATCTAGTCTTCATAGGTCTGTGGAACCAGAACCACCAGAGATGCGGAGGTCAAAGGAGCGCCGCCAGAGAAGAGCTGAGCCGAGACGCTGCTCCGATCATTTCCTGCTTTGGGAATATTTTCAGGAACCGACGGATAGATGTTGAACCGGCAACTCTTCACCGTTTATAAACACCTTCTAGTTTAAAGACGTCTCCCATCAGTGTCTCTCTGCCATCAGGATGAGTGGGAGCACCGCTGACCCGCCAAAATAAAAGCCTATCCTATGGAGTTCCTCCTGAGGAGAACGTCTGCAACATTTTATGGCTTTTCTTCTTTACCAGATGAAGGCAACAGATCAAAATGGCTTCCAGGGATTCTGCGTGTTTTTCATTACGCCTGCAGAGACGCTAAAGTATTCACGCCGCTTAGACTTTGGCGTGGTGTCACACGAAAACCTCCACAGCATGTTTATCAGAAGGGATTCTGACCGACACGGAGCAATGCATGCTGGGAAGTGGGAGAAGCTGCACTGGTACAGGGCTAAGACTAAAGGGAACACTGGGACCCACTGGGAACCAGTGGGAACCACTGAGACCCAACCAGTGGGAACTACTGAGACTCACTGGGAACCACTGGGACCCACCAGGAACCACTGGGACCCAACGGCAACCACTGGGAACCACCAGGAACCACTGGAACCCAACGGCAACCACTGGGAACCACTGAGACTCACTGGGAACCACTGAGACTCACTGGGAACCACTGAGACTCACTGGGAACCACTGCCTGACTGAACAGACTGAATAAAATCAAAGTTTCCTTTTTTTAAGGAAAACCTTGTTTTGTTTTTCTGTCTGATGATAAAAGCTTCAGATTAAGTTTAGGCTGAATCTAAAACATCAAAGGAGCTTCCAGGTTTAAAAAAAGGAAAATCTTCCAATAAATCCAAGGTTGAGTTTAGACTGGGAAGATAAATCCCAGTTAGACGTCAGTCTACCGAAGGAAAGACGCCGATAGCCGAGTGTCTAGGTGGAAACAGACCACCGTTACCATGGTGATTTCTCCATCTTTGATCTGCCGGGATCCCAAAATAAGCCGGACTCTGAGTGTGTGAAGATGAAGAGCTGTAGTGTGAGCTGGGCCGGTCGGGGGGAGTGCTGCATAGAGGTCTATGTTTTCTGAGGGTCGGGGGAGATGGGGCCCGGCGTACTGGTGCCGTCCAAGCTCTGTACTGGGATCTGGAACTGGGGCGTGAGCACCGACGGGAACTGGGAGGGAAAAAAAGAGACGTTAGCTTGGAGCGTTGCTCTGAAGGCGATAACAGGAGGAGGACGGGGGCCCCACCTGGAACAGGTGGGCTCCCTGGCGGCGTGTGGCGGGGCTGAGGGGGGCCACGGGACTCAGCGTGCTCCAGAAGTGGATGTTGGACAGCAGAGGACTGGGAGTCAGCAGGAGGGTTGGAGTCTGGGAAGATTAGAAGCAGGGATAGGCGTTAAATATTACACTAAAATCACTTAAAACACTTTTATTCTGCATTTATTTACAGACGAGCTTCAGTGACTCTATAATGATTGAAAAGGAGAGTTTTAAATGGGAATAAAAATGTTTGATGCTTTTATTTATCTATTATCTTTGATCCTAGACTGGAATATTGAATATATCCCTGGGCATCAATATCAGGGTGAAAATGTTACCATGGCAACAGGATTTTCCCGCTCCGCTCCGTGTCAGTGAGTTCACGTGACATCAGCAACCAACGTGTCACCAATTCTGCCTGGAAAAACTTGGGTTTTTATTATTGACAGTAGGGTTAAGGGTCTTGCTCAGGGACCCAGAGTGGCAGGCTGTGGGACTGGAACTCAGAACCTGTGGATTCCAACCACTAGGCCAGCGCTCCCCTGAGCAGAGATCAGGGTGAAGGGTCCCTCCCTCCAGATGGGATACCCAGGATTCCTGTTAGAAGGACGGGTGACTCACCGCTATAGCTAGCCAGCCGCTACAGCTAACCAGCCGCTACAGCTAGCCAGCCGCTACAGCTAGCCAGATGCTACAGTTAGCCAGATGCTACAGCTAGCCAG